TTTTGTGATAGGCTAAACGAATGCAGCCGATCCTGGAGCGTGAGGAACAGCGACGGAAAGAGCAAGAAGAGCGGGAGAAGAAGTTGGAAGAGGAGCGGGAAGAACGCCGCAAGAGACGAGAGGAGCGTGAGAAAGAACGAGAGAAAGAACGCGAGGACCGGCGCAAAAGAGAGAAGGAACGCGAAAGGGAACGCGAGAGGGAACGAGAAAGGGAACGAGAAAGAGAAAGAGAGAGGCGAAGGTCTCGGTCTAGGGAGAGGCGAAGGAGCAGGTCACGCAGCAGGGACAGACGACGAAGAAGTCGTGATAGGAGACGCAGCCGCAGTCGTGATCGTAGGCGTAGCCGTAGCAGGGACAAAGATCGTAGGCGTAGCAGAAGCCGTAGTAAACACAGGTTTGTATGTGGACTTGTGTAGCTCTTTGTAATTGTGAAATGATCATGCCACTGGTTATTGAAACAAATGGTCAGAGGCCAGTTATTGTGAATCATGATTGGCAACATTTTTGCACCATCACTGGTGGCTGTCTGGAGCTACAGAATCTCCATCCAGTTTTGATGTGTGTCCAGTTTTTCTGTGTCACAAGGTACACCCAAGCCATGTGGGATTAAAAGGGATCATATAGATGTTTTTTACTGAATCTAGTTCACACTGATTGAGACAGGTTAACAGTAACAAAGCGATGATTTTCTGCCTTATTGTTTTAACTCTGTCTGACCAAGTAGTGAACTTCATAGGATGTAGGTTTGCAGGTACACCATGTAAAAATTCTCTTTTGGGAAGAGGTGTGGTTCTGAGAAGAACCGGTGAGTGTTCAACTCGACGTTTCGGCCAGTATCCTCTGGCCGTCCTCAGGAGAATGTGTGGACGGCTAGAGCATACTGGCCAAAACGTCGAGTTGAACACTCTCCGGTTCTTCTCAGAACCACACCTCTTCCCAAAAGAGAATTTTTACATGGTGTACCCGCAAACCTACATCCTATGTACTTCTGCCATGCAAAGCTTCAAATCTTACTTAGTGAACTTCACTTGCTTTGATTAATTTACAACACAAGAAGTAAAAACCGACATTAACCCTAACACTCCTGAGTCCTCCAACAGGTGATGGATTGAGGAGGGTTAGGGTTAAAGATCATGTTCTCTTCGCTATCAAGCGTGTAAGTTGCCAACAGGACACCTTCCAGGTCTTCCTAGTCTTTGTGTCAGCTCACGGTAGACATTTTCTTATCCCTGTTGGTATAACAGACGAAGCAGAGAGAGAAGCAGGGATCGTCGCCGTCGTTCACGTTCCAGCAGCCGCGACAAACGCCGTCGCTCTCGCAGTCACTCGCGGTCACGCCGGCGATCCCGGTCTCGATCCCCATCTCACAAGTCACGCTCCAAGCGCAGTCGCTCGGGATCCAGGGGCCGGGACTCCAAGCACCGGGACCGTGAGTCCAAGAGCCGAGAGGAGACGGGCAAGGATTGGGACAGAGAAGAGGCAAAGAAGTCCTCAGAGAAAGAGGCCAATCATGACAGCAAGGAGGATACACCCATGGAGGATGGAACTCAGGAGACAAGGGAAGATGGGGGAACAACGAATGACACCAACAATTTGCCAGAAGGTATGATTTAATAAAATACTTTGGGCTTTCAAGAATGATGGTGATAATTGGCCTTACATTTGTGAATAAGCAAGACTTAATTACCACTGAGACAAAGGTTTGCATTTGCAACATGGAAATCTCTTCAGTAAACAGGTGAAGTTCTGCAAAGAACCAGTAGATCCAACTGTTTTGGGGCAGTCTACTGGTTCTCTGCAGAACCTAAGTCACTCACAAAAAGAAATTTATGATGTTTTGGCAAACCTTTGTTTCATCGCCATGTCTACCAGGCAGACATTCAAATTATATTGAACTGTCATATCCAGATGCTTAACCAGTTTATTTGGGAACTGTTAACTAGTGATGAAAGCAGGATGGTTCCTTGTTCTCTTGCGCATTTTAAAGCTTAGAAATCTTAGGAATAAGAACCAGCCTATATTTCCTTATAAAGCTATAAATCTGATCTTTTGTCCTATGGTAAAACTAACCTAGACTTTTTCATTTTTACAGCAAGTTACCATTCAACCATCGGGATTATTAAGTAATGCCTAACTGCCACTTCTTAGTTCCTAATGAGGTCGAGCAAATCCAAATGTTAAATATGGAGGATCTTAAAAGATTAATGATCCGTGCATCCAGCCTGGAAATCTTGGATACATTTCCCAGATATAAACCCTAACCCATCATTCATTGTGAATTCAGATGCAGATGCAAGAAAAGACATCAGCGACCTAGAAGCCAAGACGAAGGTTGACACGCCAAGGTCGACCAGCAAGCACACCCCAGACAGGATGGAGGAAGGAATCCCCACCAAACCTGAAGGTGACACTTACTCTGATAACTGACCCCACAGTTTGAAGGGTGAGTGTTTTTATCTCCTTCTGTCGACCATAAAACCCTGACGGAGTGAACTGATGACTAACCACCAACTACCCCACCTCCCCTTCCCCTCTCTATCATCTTGTTTGTCTTTCCTCTACCGTGGTTGTTTGCCAAGTCCTCTTTGTCATTGTCATGTTGCGTTTCTTTCTGTGGCTTTGCAAATGTCACTGAAAACTGCATGTGGATTTTTCCTCCTCTGAATTTGGTTTGCTCTTCAAGGCATCAAAAAAACTCCATGAGATTTACCTCCAACTCTGAGTTCCTCGTTTGACTTCATTAAAATTTGACCAGAATCAGAAGTTAGTCAACATGAATTAGGGGATGTGGTTTTCCTTTTGGAAAAAAGGAGAAAAATCTAGTGGGGAACATTCCTACCATGAAGCCATTTTGTCTTGGAACTATGCACCTGTGCATTATTTAGAAAATTCCATCCAACATATTGCTTGAAATGAATTTAATTACAGGCCGGAGTAGTGGCTAATTTAGTCATCCATGTCAGAATACCACACAATTTTCTTTACAAAATGGCGATAAATGTCATTGAAAATGTCGTATATTGGTGCTGGAAAACTCTCTGAATGTGGGTCATGAAATCTTGTGTATTCTGAAGTGTATGCACAAGCCTAGTTTGATGGTTCTGTTCCTATGACTTTCTTGCATCTAAGGGGTACCACTTCCTTTGTTTTACTTCCTCCTGTCTGAAGTTGTTCTTTTTTTTAATTGTTATTCTTGAGCCTCCTACTTTCCTTGTGTGGCCCCGCCCCCAGCCCCTCTTGCATTTTTCTCACAACAGTTGTTGAAAGTAAGTAAATGTTTGTCCCCGTGGAAGCGCTTTGGTCACTGCAAGAGTTTGGACGTCATCCTGCGATCTTCATTGACCTTTGACCACAGCTGTAGGAGCTACCTCTAGGTACCTGATTTACAATACCAAGAGAAAGATTTTTTTCTTTTTATCTTAAGATTTTGAATTGATTTGGATTTTTTTTTCAATCGAAATTCTCCAATGCACTTTTTTGTTTGTGGTTTAGTCTCAACCTTGAGAAATTCATCGTTGCAGAATCTCAAGAGGGAATCATTCAAACATGATTACAAAAATAGCATTGTTTGGAAAAAGACATTGGATTTTTACAATGGCTGCAAAACGAGTCTTTCAATTTTACTGACATCACTAAAACTTGCTGAAAATTGTCTGCAATGGTGAATGAAATTTCAAAGCATTTCCTGAAATCTTCTTGGATAATGTTAGTGTAGCCTTTCTCTCTAGCATGTTGTATACAACATTGCATTGTCTTCATTTATCAGCGATGTATTATTAACGAACCGTGTTTGGTCAGAGGGCACGATAACCCTCCCCTCTTGGCCACTGCCCAGCCCAACCCTTGTCGGAGCAAGGTTGCGAGGTTGCAGTTTTGTAGAGCAGAGGGACTCAGTGTTACACACTCTGCTACCGACGATTCTTGAGATACGCGCTCATACATTACAGGTATTCCACCAGGTACCCCATAACCACTATGTATTTGTAACACTTTTTTCTTCTTGGATTTTTTTTTTAACAATCAGTTGCTTTTTGTAAATTGCCAACAAAATAGCGTGTTTACCAAACAATTTAAGGTGCATGTGATGATTTGTATTTGTTCCAGAACTGGACAAAATTCCTTATCTTCTATGACTTTTTTTCTAATCATTTTAGTCAATTAGTAGACATAAATGTGTGTTTGCATATTTATATCTACCCCTTGGTGATCATTGGTCAGATAGTCACTTTTTGAAGGAGGGGGTGGAGTATAGTTTAAAGTTCTATGTGTTTTCTGTTTGTTTGTAAATGTCCATAGAATTAAAGAAATCACCAACATTGCTGTTTAGTAATAGCACAGTGATCAATAATTTTCTCAGAAGAATTTTGGAACGTATTTCTGAGTATGTTTGTGGCTAAATAAATAGGCTGTAAATTCACTTAATAGTAAATTAAGTATTCCCCCTTAATACCAGCTTCCACTGAAAGTCTCCCAATCAACTTTCAGTGGGCTGTGTGCACAACTACGCCCTCTATTGGTTGGAAACACATTCGGCTCAAGTCGATACTGCCAAATTGCACAGGATGATAAGACTGTAGTGTACTGCATTCTTTGCCCAGTTCCAGTGTAGGGCTTTACTGATGGATATGAATTACAGTAAACTCTGGCTAAGTCGGCACTCTCGGGACTCAAGAAATTATGACGACTTACGTGGATGCCGACTTGTGCCAAAGTCGTCATTTTGCCGACTTACACGTGCACATGTACATTATGATTCCTTGCACTAATTTATGGCTTTGATTTACCCTGGTTTATTTTTACCTCCATGGTTGATCCCAGCAAATTCATTCTTGATTATTAGCCTCACGGTCTACAAATTCTATAATTGATCATGTGCCCCAAGGACGAAGCAAGGACGGCAAGCCACTTGCACATCACGACTCGACAGTGCAGTACGTATGTACGTGATACAGTTACGGTACAGAAAACATACACTCATCCACTCATGCGCATTGTTAAGTTCATTCAATACAGTCTAGATACCAGACCCAATGATTCTGACTACCCAACAAATCATTATCAAGGGTCGTCAGGGAATCTTTGGGCAGGGAACCAGACTACATTCAATAAGGCGACCCCTAAAATGGACAGAGCCCATGCGTGCACTAGAGAGGTTACTGGTATTGATGTAATCATGCTGGCTACGCATGCACGGGACTTGTGACGTTGTCACTTGTCACTTCTTGGCAACCACGGTGAAGGAAACTGATACCGAAGCACGATTTTTTTTAATGCCGACTTACACAAAGGAATTTTTGAGGTTTTGTGGAAAAGGGATGGAGAAAAACATGCCGACTTATGTGAAATGACGACTTACAAATGTTGACTTAGAAATGAAATTTTCAATGGAAATGCATTACAGACAATCGGGACTTTTGTCAAACGGCCGACTTAGACAAAATGACGGGTTACACGATGCTGACTTAGTCAAGAGTTTACTGTATTCACAATGCTTAGTAATAAGCACAAAACAGTCAGTGTCACCATATGGAGTCCACAGTTCAGGGAACATACCATGCTTTCTCAAGGTGTAATTTGAAAGGAGTGTACGACAGCTTACAGATACATCCAATGTTCACTTGTTTTCAATTGAGCGATCCCTGAGTGTTTACATTGTTATTATTTCTTGGATACCCAAGCATTATTATTCTCAAGTGCCAGGAGACATGATGTAAGGCACTGAAAAAGACAGGACGAGAAAGCCATGGTTTTAAGTAGTGAAATACATCAGAAATTATTTGAAGAAGTTTTCTAACTTACTTGAATTATCTATATTGCTGAGTAGTCTTTCAAATTACATTGTAGATTGGGATCATTGGGTAAAGTTTATCAAAACCTTATAAGAAAGCGTTTGGATTAGAAAGGGTCTGTCCTGTTTGTTCAGATCATATCAAAACTATCATAAATCTTTTGTCCCTTAACTTGACTGTAGACCTCATTAGGAACTAAGAAGTGGCAGTTAGGCATTACTTAATAGTCCCGATGGTTGAATGGTAACTTGGTAGTCTCCATTGTGTGTAGAACCAATAGGGATATTACACTACAAGTAGGCCTGTAAAAATGCTTTAAAAATTACTTTGAAAATATTTCCACAGCTGTTTGGTGTGTCCAAACTAGACAGTGGGATGCATCTAGTCATGTTTGGTGACAGATATTGGAGAATGGAATCAGATTCAACTCTTTCAAAAGGGTGTTTGGACTTAGAAAGAAAAGCCATTCTCATTGAATTTGCTGGAAAGGCAGTCAGATACAGTTAACTGGACATTGCCTTCAGCCAACTTGGCCTACATTTGCCTTACTCCATTCAAAGTCCAAGTTACAAGTGTGATTGTTTTCATTGTTCCATTTGGACCAGAAAGTCTAACATTTGTTAGTGCTTGTGTTTCTCTCCAATTGGAAATTGCCCTTCTGCAGCCCAAGAGACAGGATGAAGACAGGTGTAACCCTATGATGAAAGTCCAAGACACCTGACGCTTGATGATGTTAGTGATGGTGAGATGTACAAGATGGATTATTGCTACATGTCTTCAGACGTGTGATGGGCCTTGTGTCACTACTGGGCTCTACTCCAGTAGGTTTATTCAACTTCGGAACTTACTGATGTCTTCAAGGATCCTTGAAATCAAGGTTTTTTTATTTTTAGTTTTAATGCAGGTTGTTCAAATCTGCTACTTTAATAAATTCAGGCACTTCCAAGACAGCATCTTTAAGTACTTTGTAAATAAGGTACCGTTGCTTGAAGCGATAAGTTGAGATACGTGTGAAAAATGGTACAACTGCGATAACATGGTAGAATTTTCTTTACTTGCACTTGCAAAAATGTATAATTTAAATTTTTTTCAGCATCAAAAGATTGGCACAAAATGCATGAAATAAAAATGCACTTTGTAAATGCTTTTCTATGTTCCACCATCACACGAAAAAAATAATAAAGATGTATGTATTAGATTTTAGCACTGTTTAATTTGTGGTGTTGAATGTTTAAGAACTCTTGTTGAAAGAATCAGGTGTTATCTTCTCAGCAGAACGTTGCATTCTTCCTCTATGCAGAGTGTTAAGCCAATCATGCCTCTCATGGGCAGCATACGTCCAAGGTGTACAGTTTAGTCTTACATGATCATTCTAAGGTATGTGGTTTAGTTAGGGGCTCTAGTGCACTTTGATGACCGTTTGGACTGCTCTGAAGGTGGGTCACTTGATGTTTTTTTTTTTATATATGTTCTTGCATGAATCCCCGCTGAATCTCTCGTTAAACTCTTGATGTGATTACTCAAGCAGTGATTTGTGCTAATCACAGTTGCTTATTGACCCTTTTCCCAGTTGCAATGATCAAGAATAATTGTGAAGAGTGTTTCCTCTGACCGCGAGGCAGGAAAAGCCAGGAACTGAAGGTTTTGTACTCCAATAAGCACATTATTTTAAGATGGTAGCTGGATTTTCCATGTCATTCATTCAAAAAGGACCACTGCTTGAGATGACCACATCCTACTGCTGACCTGGGGGATCGCGACACTAAATCCAGAATTTAGAATTCCAGTTATATCTGTACACTTCAGTTCTAACAAGTTAATTACCACACTGTTCCACAATGCCTCAGACAATAACAGCAATTGTTTTTTAAGTTTGTCTTGTTTCTTGGAAACAAATGTTGACAACTTCAGCAGAATTTTGACTTTTTATGAATGCTGTAAACTTGATAGCCAGTTGTTACGTTGATGTTTTGAGGACGTTTGGTTAACATGGCAAAAGTTGTGTACCTCAAGAACAAGGCATTTACTGTGCATAGGCACAGTTGAGATTTAAAAGTGTGGTTAATCCATAAAAATTCAGTTTTCAGTGACAGTTTTCTCCTTTTTTTTCATGAAACTTATGCTGTTTATAGAGATAACTTTCATGAAGAAATAACTAGTGATTTTCAACTTTAAGAAGTAAATTTGGGGTAACTGTCATTTCAGAATATTTATTTGGAACTCCACAAATTGTAAATGGTGAATAGGTCAGAGACATTGTTTGGATTCACATGGTGTCTCTTTAACTTTGGGGACGCCTGATGTTAACATGTTGGCAAAGAAGGTTCCAACAGACATGAATAATTGTATGTAATCCAGGTTACCCGAGGGATCTGTCAGTGGTCCTGGCATAGCCTTCCTTTTTTTGTACTAGTCTGGAGACCATGCTGCTTGACAGTATCCAAGCAGACATCTGGCAGGTGTTGGCAAGATCTTCCTTTGACGCTAGATTTATCAGGTATGTGATCACATCTGGGGCCAATTTCATAGAATTGCAAAAAATTTACTGAGGAAAAATTTGTTGTGGGTTTTGTTTGGTTTTGATTATTTGTTGAGCCCCCCCCCAAATAGTTCTGCTTCCTATTACATGACATTTGGAAACGGTACACTGTCTTGATACTGATTCAGTGTACAGGTTGTACCGTACTTGGTTTAAAATAATCAGAGAAGATGGGTGGCATTTTTGTCAAAAATAGTGTAGGTCGGGAAACAGGAAGCATAACTTTTTTAGGCCTCGGCACAAACCAGGTTGTCAGCCCATGTCATACCCAGTGTGTATTGCCAGGAACTGTTACCCCACTTATTTTATTTCTACATATAACGTGAGTGTGTCTAGCCATGAAGTCTGCCCTGCAACTCTGGCATTGGGCCCAGGTGACTTCGAATAAATTTGATCAGTCCTTAGAATGAACATCCTTGTAAACCTTTTCAATTTCCAAAACTAAGTTGCTTCTTTTGTACATGTATCAACAACTACAAGTTGCAGGGTTAAGAAGAATCGTACCTGGTTATTTGTTCGGTTATAGATTGTTTAAAATCGTCACTTGAATCAGATCATTAATTTTTTGTATTTTAAAAGATTTTACTTGAAAACAGCAAATGAATACTATTTTGCACAATGCGAGTGCATTATCACCAACACATTCGTGAAAACCATCCTGTATGCCTGTATCAATAAGATTTTTTTCTCATTTTTTTATTCGTTTTGTTGTACGTCAAAATAAAATCTGTGACCATCTGAAGAATGTTCAAAGGTGTAGCATATCTCAAAATAGAGAAACTTTGAAGAATTGTTTCATTGGAAGTCATTTTTCTATTTTATAAATAGGTTCTGGTTAGGTGTTTCAGACTGTGCACTGTGCTGAGTATGTAAATTTTTTCAAATGTTTCCAAAAAAAGGAATGTCTGATGTTATTTTTTGGTCATTTCTAATACCCTGTTCTAAAATAGATAAAACCAACACATCGACAATAAAACGTTTGTTTACAGTGACTGATGAAAGATGGAAAAAGTCAATAAAATTTGTGACAAAAAAAATGATAATTGTCTCCATTTGTCACTGTTGTAATGAGAATTCCATTTGTCTGTTGTTTCATTTCATTATTTGTTTTTTTCATGTTTCACTTTAATAGTGGGAGTTGGATACGATATACCACGGACCATTTACCCAGGGATGTGCAACCGCGAGCGGCCTCAGTGCAAACTCATGTACGACCTTGGTTCCATGCGTGTTACGGATTATAATATTACCCCCGCAAGCGCTCTCGACTTTTCTCGAGAAAACTCGCGACCACGTGACACCGGTTGCAGCATGTCCAGTGCAGCCGTGGTTACGTCGAGACGACGCGGTGCTTAAATCTATTCGTTTTGACGAATAAATCTTCTTCATTTATTGATTTCAAGCAGAAACGAAGTTTTAATGAGGCAAAATTCCCCAATTTTGTGGTGCACTTTTCTCAGAATGTATAGGATGAAATATCTTGAGCAGTATAATATTAGAAAGGGTGTACCCTGACTTAAAATATTACAAGAAAACGGTGGTAGACTGGGATATATGTTTTATTATTAGAGATAATCCAATTTAATTTTTGCTTTGATGTTGTGCCGGCCGTAACACGCATTGAACCAGCTCTGAGCTTAAGTTGCACATCCCCTGGGTAAATGGTCCGTAATCTGCCGCAGATAGTTTTGGGACAGGATCCATCCCCCTAGCTAAATAATGAGTTGTTTAGTACCAATGAGATCAAACACCACAAAAATACTTCAGAAACAGGAAAACCTGAAAGAAAAGTCATTATTGCCCTTCTGGGTATATACTCGCAACATCCGAGGAGGCCAGGGATGCAATGTGCCATAATTGATGACTTGCCCCGGTAGTGAGATCAAACACCGCCAAAAACTGCAGTAACAGGAAAACTTGAAAGAAAAGTCCGTGTTGCCCTTACCTTTGGGTACATGCATCCTTTAATTTTGCACACAACACCTGAACCAGGCTTTTAAAATGCAATTTTCGTGTTCCGTTCCATTCATCCGCACGAAAAATAGTTTCATTCTAAGACACCTCAATTAAAACACACTAATAGGCAGTATCGAGATTAGAAAGATTTATCATACAGCATGGGGGTGTCGCTTGAGTTCGAATGCTTCTGAACAAAACAAAAGAAACAAAGAGGTACTGGAAAAGCGTGTTTTTAATTTTATAAAAATACAAGTTGGTCATTCAATTACTGTTCATTTTGTCTGTGAGTTACCTCGAAAAAGGGTATTATCGGGGCTAGATTTTGAAGTCGACATGTTCTGCGGATAACGGTCGGAGAAAGACCGTTTGAGTCTCTTTCTTCCTTCTAGATCTTTAAAGGCTGCGTCTTCAGCTTGTTGGACTTTCTTCTGCTGTTCCGCTGACTGCTGTCGGCGATCTTTATCTTCTGTCCGCTATTATTTACTTTACTTCTTGAACTAGCTCCGAAACTCAATCGGTATCGTTGCTGCACTTGGCTGCAAAGATCCTTGTCGAGAAGAATTTCCAACTCACCGGAAAAAATGAATTGAGCCGTGTTACCAGGCTTAGAGATATCGAGCTTCTGGTTTGCTTTTCAGCTCATTTATCGACGAATCGTCCTTACAATCTTTGGTAGATGAGATATATAGATTCAAATTTCTGGTCAAATATTGTTGGAACTTGTTGAAAAGATGACCGACATTTAGGTTTGAATCATTTTCTTCCTGTTGAGACACCGTGTTTTTGCGGCAACCCAGAACAAAGTTAACGTACGGTGAAACCAATAACTCTTATATCATGCACGCATCGATACACATCCATAAAAGAAAAATGGAGGCGATTCCAGATGTGGATACAATTAACAAGCCATGAATAGAATAAGGCATTCATGAATCCAGGGAGTTTAATTGAGGCCACACCACCGAATGAAACTTCATGTTGCAGAAGTTTTCTGAGAAACACTTTTCTGCATCATTATTCAATTCAGTGTGTGAAAAGTTAAAATATGACATCCTTTTCAGTTAAAGTGTATTGAACAGCATACGGAATTTAAAGTGGAGCTGCAATGGATGTTTGTTAGGCAATCTTTCTGCAACCTCATACGTTTCAAGATATAAAAACTCTTTTACATTCCTGTTTGGATAAATGCATTGGAAGAGGGCATTATTAAAATGTTTAAAATTATGCATGCTTTCCTGGAAGACTTGGAGTACTCTTACTCTGATCTCATCTAGGGAAGACATGGTTCGATGCAAAGGTTTTTCAAATAAAGGGGTGAACCCAGAATTTACTTTACTGAAAACATTTCCATGCACATCAATAACAATGAATGAGCAAAGAAAAGAAAATTTAGTCCTGCAAAATCTACAAAAATGCTGGACATTTTGTGTACAAACCAATGTAACATTTAGGCTTTCTTCCTGCATGGGATGGCATTTTAGCTTTGCTCATAAAGATGGAACTACTCATTCGTATAAAAACCAAAAAGGCTGAAAAACACCCTTTGAAATAGTGAAACAAGTTGGAAATAAGTTTACTTAGACACAAAGGGTTTTTGGTTGACACACAGGGTTTTGGGGTTTTTAAAGACATTTTAAGGGTTTGTAATCAAAAACATTGATTGGAGCTCTCCTTTAATCATTTATTTTCTGTGGTTTTTCAGACAACTGAGGGTGCTGTTGCTGTGATTATCAATTAGGGAAAACACAGTTCTTTCGGTGAACCCAAACTTTGCTCATAGCTAATTGCCATGTATTCAATAAAAATTGTGAACCAATCACCGAAGAAAAGAGACAGTAGCAAAATGTCAAAATTCCAGGTATATAGATAGGATGCAACATTCTGATGTTTTCTCCCTAAAATGACATCACATTGTGGTCATAAAGATGACAATTCTCATGTATATCAAAACCAAAAAGGCACCAAATACATTTCGAAATCACAAAAACTGAAAATGAGGTATTAAAACTGAAATCAGAGGTACAGGGTAGTAGGCCTACTTAGTTTTAACATGGAAGAATAAAACATGTTTTCCTCCATGGTTTTTAAAAGTGTGTTGCAAAAATAAAGAAATGTGCATGAATTCTTTATATTCGGACCATATAGGCCAACAGGTAACTCATTTGCATGGTGAAGATGAAATGTTAAATTCTGTTCGGATTTCAGCTTTCACCTCTTGAAGCTTCATTATTTGCTCATGGAGCAAATGTCAGATTATTTTTAATCTGATCGGTGCAAACTTTGCAAGCTGGTGTGAATAAACCACGAGTGCACATTTAATTGAGACGCCCCCTTGTGATAACAATGGCTGCTCGGAGGCTCGGTAACATTCGTGGACAGCTTTTCTTGTCTGGCTCACGGTTCTCAAGGTAATTTCTTTTCTATTGCATTTGGATGAAAGCCCAGCTTCCAACTTTTAGCTAAGAGAATATATGGGCATCACTAAATTTGCCTTGCAGTTGATTAGTACCTACCAGAGAGCGGTAACATTTCCTAGAAGGTCAAATTTAGCACTGAAAATGTTGAACCATTTATTTTGAAAGCATGTAGCATGCGTGTACAGGTTTGTACTAGGGGTGTACGCCAAGTGATGTCCGGAGTTAAACATGGTTAAATGGACCTCTTTCCAAGTTTTATCCTAGTAAAGGAACGGTACTTGTGTAAACGTCAGGATAGTAGAAATGTAGACTTTCCCAACTTCCCTTGTGATTTTGGAAATTGTAACGTCGGTGACGGATGGGCCTACCCCCCCCCCCCGAACTGCAGAGTCCGACGTCTGCCCCGCCATGGAGGAAGGAACTCAAGCGTTGATGTTTTTACTTGTTGCATGTAGGCCTACACCTCTGTTACTGAAGAACAGAGTGAACAATAACAAGGTGAAGTGGAAATGGGGCGAAGTGGTTAGGGGCGAAGTGGAAATGGGGCGAAGTGGAAATGGGGCGAAGTGACCGACACCCCCATGGGATGAGGTACGCCTAGGCCCTAACACTTATTTGTTCCATAAGGGCTGATTCGTACTCACTGCATTTGCACATATGCATCACGTAATGTGAATGCCGCATTTGATGTTCATACTTTCATCTTTTCTCAAGTCTGTGCTGCGCGTGTGACTGCATATCAGACAAAAGTTGAAAAATTTCAATTTTTCCGATACATTTTGTGCGTTCGCGGTAATGTATCCATTATTGTCACAAACTGTGTACATGGGAGCACAATTTCATTATGCGTTGAGCTTTCCTTCATGCACTGCAGACACTTCAAAGTAGACCTTCGCGCTGCCTACACAGCAAATATTCAGCGAGTATGCATGCATGCATGCATGCCTAACGTTAGACTGGAATTCCAGTGAACTAAGTCAAGCCCCTTTGAAAACAATGTAAAATCAATGTTCAGCGCTCACTAAGGTGCAAGCCGACATTAAGCTACTCGAGTTTCTCAAAGTCAAACGAAAATCAAACAATTGCCTTGACCCTTTCCGTACTGTAGCCTAGTAGGCTTTGACGGACATCCGGGACTTTTGTAAAGTGGTGGGTAGCAACCAGACAGCTCCGATGAAAACAACTTACTTGAATTGCTTGCACATGTTCTTTCTTCAGTAAAGTGTCCCCCATCCAACCGAAGATGACCATGCCTGACATTGTTAACAGTTGGGCATGCGTTAACTTGGTCCTGATCAAAGTTGAAATGCTCAGTGGACACAGCTGCCTTGGGAACACATCCTGGCCTTTACGTAATGCAAAAGGTCTCTTGCCACATGGAGTCGCATTCATTTCTAATATCTTTTTGAAATGATTTAACTGCCCTCTTTAAATAATAAAGTGAAGTATCAGGAGTTGTACATGTTTGTTCGCCTAGCACCCCTTCCCCCAAAAAGAACGAATTTAATTTCTGTGAACACATTGGTATGTCTTAGCTAAATTTGAATATTCACTTGTTCACTATCAGCACTACCGTCAAAGGTAATACCACCTCAGCTGTCATGTCTTCCAGTTCATCGTCCATCCCGTTTATCAGCTCTGAAGAGGCAGAGAAGGCGCTGACCTACAATGAACTGATCCCTACAATAGAACAAGCCCTTGGAGATTACTCCAGTGGGGAGGAAGGGGGCGTAGTCCAGCCTCTACGCTCAGTCTTTCCAGTCAAGAAACAAGATGGGTAATGGTGGAAACTGTGAATGATATTATGTTAATAGCTGTGACAGGTGCACAGATACCAACCATATGTGACATTTCCTGGTTCTAATCTTGAAGAGCTTTATTACACCCAAACCATGGCAAATTCCAAACCCGTTGGTTGCAAAAAAATTTACATTAATAATGCATATGTTGTTTCATTGAAAGAATGCAAGAGATGCAACAAAAGTCGTTTAATCCGAGTGATCCTTTATGCCTCTTCTACAAAAAGTCTAAGTGTTACAAAATGCTCCTTGACGTCATGGAAAGACGAGTAAATGAAATGAGTGCAGAAAACAAGAACCCTTCAGGTGTGATATTTTTCTTAACATACATGTATGAAGAGTTGGTGTGCGCCCTCTAGATTGATAAACAAAGCTAACAGAATAATGTGCCCATATCAGATTCCTGGTTGCCCATGTCTTACAAAAACATGGGTATCACTTTCCATTGGTTTCATGCAGTTAGAAAACACTTGCAAAATTCTCCCTTTTCTCCCACTACACATTGACAAGTTTTAACTGGATTTTTGATCATGATTTCTTGAAGTGTTAGTCTTCATTTCGCTACAGATCACCCTAACCCGAAAATGCCTCTGAAGTGGTTTTTCAGAGATGGGAAAGCACTGTGTGGACCTTTGTAAGTCCACATAGTGTCTGCTTACCCTATAATATGTGGACTTCTTTTGCACGGAAGTCCACGCTCTGTATGTAATGCTTAAAGGTAAATTGAAAACATTTATTTCACGTGAAGTATTTCAAAATAACAATAAATACGTAACCATTTCAAACACATCATAAATTCAATGTTTACCCCATTAATTGTGACCCCAAAATGAATGAACAGATCCTGCATGATTGCACACAGTACATGCAATATCGCAATCGACCACGTTGTGTTCGATGGACATGTAGCTTGGCCCACAGGCAGACACTGTCTTGGTTCAAGGTAGAAATGAAAAGACACAGTCCTACTGTGTATTTCTTGAATTGAGACAGTGTTTGCCTGTGGGCCAAGCTACATCGAAGACAATGTGGTCTATTGCAAGCGTGGAAGCATGTGATTCTGCATGTACTGTGTGCAATCATGCAATGTACATGTACACTGTATGTGTAGGCGGTCTGCCGATGACGTCATCGACTCAGCCTGGGAGCACGAGCAGCCAAAAGGGGATTTTTTGTGGGCGGGGAAATGCAGGATCTTTTTAGTCATTTTGGGTCACAATAAATAGAGTAAACATTGAATTTATGATATTTTTGAAATGGCTACTTATTTATTGTTATTTTGAAATACTTCACGTGAACTAAATGTTTTCAGTTTCTGTTAACCTTTAAACAATCACACACACATGCTATACTCAATTTTAATTGCAAGACATTTTACTATAAATGCTTAATACGTTGAGTTTTCAGATCTTTCCAACACAGTATGATATTGAAAAGCAAAAATGCTTAGCAGCAACGTAAGCTACACTTTTTCTGACAAGCATTACTCTGATAGTAACAGCGTGAATCAAATGCAGTTTAAGTCTTGATCTCCAATCCATATATAACACAAAACAAAGTCAAGGGGACCAGTCATAAAAGCCTCATTTCCCCTGTGGTTAGAAATGTCTGCAAATGTTTCAACTCTCAAAAATATTGAATACTTGTCAGCAGGTATGCAGGCCGTCGTTGCAATGAAGGAGTAGAATATGTCACGTTCTTACAAAGTTGTCATACCCTTTTGCAGTCAAAAGTGGACTGAACAAAAATCCAACTGTCACTTTTGATATTCCAATGGATGTTGAGTTTTATTTTAAAACAGAAATCACTCTCAGGTTTTAATCCAGTGACATCTTCCACACTGATGCCAATGAAGAATAGGTAGTGGTAGTAATAGGTAGTAAACTTACAACAGCCTAGTCAAAATAGGCTTGGCCGAGATGGGGCACAAGGTACAGAAAAACATTTGAATGAAATAAACTTACAACAGCCTAGTAAAAATAGGCTTGGCCGAGATGGGGCGCAAGGTACAGAAAAACATTTAAATGAAATAAACTTACTACGGCCTAGTAAAAATAGGCTTGGCCGAGATGGGGCGCAAGGTACATAAAAACATAGAAATGAAATAAACTTACAACCTCCACAAGTACTTTGACAACGAAACTCAAGTTGCAGAAATACAAGCCATCTTGGCAATCCAAAAAGTAAACTAAATTAACTCAGAAAAATATGTTGCTCCTCTTAGCACCCAACTGCAAATCCTCAACATGCAAATGTGTGTGCTACTTGTACTAAAATGTCCAGTAATTTTTTATTGAAGGGAATGCAGTGAAGTGACCCTGCCTTGTCAACACGGCAAAATATGTGATTCAAATGCAAATAATACCTGTTAGTTAGGAATCACTCAACGTTAACCCTCCTGACCAACCCTTGAAAAGACCAGGCCAGCAACCAGCAGTCAATGGACTTAAAGGACTAGCTTACAATAAATGTGTATGTTGCAGCTGACTTTACAAGCAAATGACATTCCTAGTTTACACAGTAGAATATCAGCTTGGGAAACTAATATTAAATGACTTTCCAACAGGTAAAAGTGATTTTCATGACACTATATTGAAATAATGTCTAATTTGCCTTTGTAGGCTCTTCCTTGCTATGCCGGCGTACAGTGAAAAGCAAGGTGGACTGGCCTGCAAGTTGCTGACTCTTTTTCCCAAGAATGAAAACACCAAGTTTCCAGTTCTTCAAGGCACCATTGCCCTGTTTGATGCAGATAACGGTTCCTTGAAAGCAGTACGTAAATAAGCTGACAAATTCCACTGGTCCCATTGTGATGAATGTTTCCATTTCTGTGAGGGAGTCATTCAAACTCAGACATGTTACAGCATCTTCCAACCGGGAACCAGGAACATTCATAGAGCATTTTGAATCATACATGGCTGTTTCCCAGTTAATGTGCACTTAGACACTTATTCCCAGATTGTCAAACTGTGCTGGTAACACGAAGCAGCTCTATCAAAATGGGACTTTTTGAGTATTCAAAGATAGAGCTGTAATATCAGAACTTCAATCAAGCGTCAAATATTTGAATTTATTTGTTGAATCAACCATTTGCAGGTGAGTGCACAGAAACAAAAACGGCATTTTAAAGCTTTACTTAAAGGTAGCTGTTGGATTGACACATTCAGGCCAATTGGTTACATCTGCTGTGACTTAATGATCAGCCCTATTATGGCCCCATTGTAACATTTACATTAGCAACTCAAAGGGTTGCGGCAGTCAATTTGTGTTAACAGAGACCTTCAACATGCACCATTTGGTCTCGGGTAACTTTAATTTCAACTTTTGGTTCACTGTTTCATAGGGTACTTTTCTACATTTTTTATTTTTATGCAAATGAGTATTCCATATTCATGAGCGAAACTGTCATGTCATCTCTGGAAGAAGCCTATTGGTTTGTACACAAAAAAATTCTGCATTTTTGTAAATTTTACCTGACTGGGTTTTCTCTTCTTTGCTGATTCATTGTTGTTTATGTGCATAGCATTAAGCAAGTGCCAGTCCCTTTCTCAGAAAAATTTTCAGTAAGTAAATTCTAGGTTCACAATTTGAACAGAAAAGCCTGCACTACATGTATGTCTCCCCCTGTGTTTCATATTTCTCAAAATATGGAGGGCCTGACATTTCAATCCTAGCAGAATCTTTCTTGTTTTTGCCTTTGTGATTTGTATTTGAGATCATTGTAGTCAGTGCGCAGTTTTGTCTTACATACTGTACCTTTGTGTTTCATATTTGTTTGATAATCAGATCTTGGATGGGGAGGCCATTACTGGCATGAGGACTGCTGCTGCATCAGCCGTTGCTACCAAGGTAATCACCTGTGACTGTATGCATCAATCTCCCTGAGAACTCGCCTGATCTTTAAAGGGCAAGAGACCATTTTGTCCAAATTACATAGAAACTGGTAGATAACCAACTCAGATTTTGACCCAACATTAAAATAACTTCTCAGGGGGCCATGTAATCTCACTACAGATTTGAGCTCCCAATTTTAGTGATAACTGATATGTAATTCCTTGAAGCAATACCCCCCTCTTTTCTGTCACTGTCAGTTGCAGTATGCGAACTGCAAAACTTTAATTTTGTCATGGTGGTGTTCCAAGGGAAGAGGGAAATCCTTTTCTGTATCTTACCATATTTTCTTTCATTCGTTGTCGTCAGTACTTAGCCCCAGAGGGAAGCAAGATCCTAGCCATTTTGGGGGCGGGGCTCCAAGCTAAAACCCACCTGGAGGCACTGAGGCACGTCATCCAATTCAAAGAAGTAAGTACAAACGGACAGTGTTGGAGTACTTTTACTTGAACTCGAGTACCAAGTACTTAGCCCTTCCTCAATTGTAAGTACTCAAAAGAAACTAGTACTCAGTATGTACTTGTAATTTTGTACTAGAACTCGTCCCTAAACTTACAAATTGTACTCTGTTAACTTGATGCCAGTCGTGCAGTACTCAAAAAGAAATTGGGATTTTTTCGATATTAAACTTTGACCAAAAATTTCACATTATGTAAGGTACACGTTACAAGTATCTATTTTTGTCAACTCTAAATTGAGTATTCTTGAATGGGTGTCGGCACTGGACAGCGCTCACAGTATAGCGGTGTCCATGTTTTTTTACTAACAATGCAAATTTCCACAATGTTTTAGTTGTACAATGTTCTCAGATGTACTCCATTATCTCTACTTGTACTCGGCCCGTACTTGGACTCTGAAAAACTCAGATTTTTGGCCCAGGACTTGATTAAAAAGTACTCGGACTCAGCCCGTACTCAACATTGTGTGTACTCAGAAAACTCGGTACTCAAGTTTTGGTACCTGACTAGATCACTGCAAAAAGATACTCAGCTGAAATCAACCTCTGCTGAGTGGGGCATGCAGGTAGTTCGTTCTGACTAGGCATACCCCCTCACCATCAAAGAAGACAGGTTGCGGAAACAAATTTCAGCTTGGCGCATGATGCTTAGGCAATCACTGTGCATTCCAACAGAAACTGGACACGTGCATGGCAGTGTTTTTGTCCCACCAAAGGCCTATTGCTTTGATGCAAAAATGTGCTGTCTCTAGTTCTTGCATGGAGTGGACAATAAAATAACCACTGTTTCCAATCGTACAGGTGCATTTACTAGTACAAGAGGAATGAAAAAAAATCAGTGGCAAAGTCTTTCAAAAGGAAACATGCATCAGATTTCACACGCTGGACAGATAAAGCATACACTTTAAATGGCTGGCAAGATTTGAAGGTCAGTAGGGTAGAAAAGATTGAAATCTTTATGACCTCTCAGTGTGTGCTTAGTAATGCTTTGGTTCCTTGATATCAACAAGTGTTTATAGCTAGGTTCAAACTGCAACTTGTGTAAAGCAAATTATGTGCTGTCTTGTTTGCTGACGATAGCTACTTAACATCTTAATGGTAATTCTACAGGTTGTAAGTTCAAATCCACCCTATGTGGATACAGTATATGTTCTTAAGCAAGACACTTTGCCACAAGCTACTTTCGGCCCCATCAAGGGAGCACATGGATACCTGTGGTGGTTGAGATTTTTTCTCGTGTTTGAATTTCTGTTTGCTCTGAAATGAGAGCATTGATTGCCAAGGGAACTAAAACGGTCTGAGGAATATTGTATAAGCCCGATGAGCAGGAGTAATAACCGGGTCCAGGTTGCACCTTGACTTTATTTCCCTGAAGTTTGTTGTGCATGAAAGATACTGTCCATCATTTGTTCATTATGTTCTTTTGAGGCAAAAAAATTACTCAATCTAAAGAAGGCTGCCTAAGACCAAACCTGATGAAGTTTTGGCTGAGTAATTCTGTACTTTCAGAGATTTCAGATTAAAAGTTTTTGAGTCATGTTTTGAATTACACATTAATTCAGTGTGCAGTACATGTTCTCACATTCACTCCAATGCAGCTATGCGATGATACACACTAAACCAACGAATTATAGCAACTAGATGCACTTGTATATCATGTCAATGTTTGTGCACTTCTAGTGGCAATTTGTCTAGAAATGCATCTTCTGACGCATCAGTGGAAATGGCCAACTTTCATTGTTTTCTTAAAACATGACAGCTTACCAAAAAAAAATGCCACAGGGAGCTTCATCCCATAACCGTCTTTTAACTGAGTATGCTTATCAACAATAATTTGTCGGTAACGTTTTTGGATAACTTTATGGATAGACTGTACGTTGAACACAATTCATTTTCAAATTCTAGCCCTGTTTATTGTGTTTCATTATCCACTTCTTAACTAGGTCCGTATTTGGAATCGAACCTATTCCAAAGCTCAAGCCTTTGCGGCCAAGTACGGCTGCATCGCGTGTAAGACTGGGGAAGAGGCAGTGAAAGATGCTGATGTCATTGCCACGGTAACAGGCACTTCCACCCCCATCCTTCAAAATGGCTGGGTCAAAGATGGAGCGCATATCAACTGTGAGTTACAGTTACAAACCATTTTCCCTTGTATTCAGTTGAACTTGTCAACATGGAGGATATGAGTGGAACTGGTCCACTGAAACTTGCTATGCTTTAAATAAATGACCTGTTCGAAGCTAAACTTGTCTAGTTCTGCCCTCTTTTGTATTTAAGTTAGACTTGGCAATATTGCAGAAGGAGAAGGCATTATTTTTCAAGGCATTTTGGCCAGCAAAAGGCCAAGAGGTTGGAGTTGTGACATTACCTTGTTTTCAGCTTTGTTTTACTCTGGCTGGCTCCCAGTAAGAGTAACTGACAGTAAGGCTTGATCTGTTACATACTAGTCTAAAGTTTTGTCTATCTGCACAATATTTCGTACCCTCAGCAGTAAGCAGTGTTTTATCATTTGACTGACAGACCCCTAGTGCATTGTTTTGTCACACAGCCATGCTCAAGTCCATTTCTCTCACAGACAAGTACCATGTTTGTGCACATTCTGTGGATAATTGGCCACACATTTGCGCACATTCTGTGGATAATTGGCCACACATTTTTGTCTTTACATATCAAGCAATATATCCAGCAATGTGTTCTTCAGTTTCCAAAACAAGTCGAACCAATGTTGTTGGCAGTTCCTTCACAGTTTTTGGCAATCATTTTGGCAACCTTGACGGTAACCAATCACAAAAGGGGAAACAAGTGAACCTGTGGTGTCCATACTCAGATTAAAGACTTCACAATCCATCCACCTTTGTGCAGGTGTGGGTGCACCTACACCAACTCAACAGGAGCTTGATCCTGTTCTTGTGCGTCGCTCCGTTATCTACGCAGACAGCAAGGAAGCTGCTCTGAATGAATCTGGAGATGTCATCATCACCAAGGTAAGTCATGCGAGAGGAATCTGATCAGTCATTTGGTGTTGGAGGATGCCCAAACATGATCTGGCTATCATACAAAGGCTTAGCTAACAGACAGAAAGGTCCAGAGCGCATGTCTAAATACACTATTCTCCCACTTATTTTGTGCGTACACAACATCCGAAAAGTTTGTGGCCTGTGTTCTGGACTTGAACTTGGCCGCTGTATACGACCTGTTGGGTAGTAAATATCCCTCCATGGGCACTTCCTGGAGAGTTCAAAAATATGAGGCTGCAATGAATATTGTACAAATACTGTCTGAAATCTAAATGACTTGCAAATCAGTATGCATGGTATTTGGCTGTCATATCATGCAATCATGAAAATTTTCAACCTGAAATAATACATTGGCAAATGGTTACAAAGTAAATCCAAGGATTTCATTCCTTTGCACCACCAACAGGTTACCTTAGAGGATTTGGAAAATTACTGGATTCGGCTTAGACTTTGGTTTTGCTGGTTCCAGCTATTTTAAAGCAGCGTTCAAAACCACATGTTCAAGTTATGACTGGAACCAGTGAAACTGAAGTCTAAGCCGAATCCACTTGTTTCAAAAACGCTCAGAGAGAGTTTTAAGAGGCAGTGCATCCTGGGAAAATGGTTGACTTGGGTGCACGCTTTTTGCACAAGGACACTCAAGAATTTTGTACCTATATTGACACATTTAATTTAGGTCAGAATTTGGTTTGCAAGTTATGCTCTTGTTTACAGGTCTCCAATATGTATGCGTAATGCGTATTATGTAAACAATGAACAAAAGATGGCTTTTACGCAGGAATATAGATCTATTAAAGATGTCACCTGTGAAATAGGAAAGTGGCCCACTGAAGGCAATGTATGTTGGCTTACTTTATTACCACTCCTGTAGTCAGAATGAATTTTTCCCTTACCCCTTGCCTGTTAAATATTAACTGTCCTGAACCCCTTGATTAATTTTACACATCCAGGAGGTGGGGGTTATCGACAGACATTCAGTCTGTTTGCCTTGAGGAACGCAGAACCTTTTATGGATCCTTGAAGGAGGTTAATTACACTGCCCCATTTATGCAGTGTTATACAGTCATTATCAAACTATTTCTGTTGAAGGCTGAAGTCTTCGGGGAGATTGGAGAGGTAGTCTTGGGCAAACTAAAAGCCAGGAAAAATGAGACAACAATCTTCAAATCTTTGGGTAAGAAATAAGATTCATTTCATTTCATTGAAGGTTTGGGGCTAGAGGCTAGGGGTAATATTGCGAATGTTTTTGAAGTGTAGCCAGAATTGTGATTCATTTACTGGAGGTGGGTAACATGAAGTTGGGGTCTCAATTCCTTCAAGGAAAGTTAACCGCTATCCCATCCCTCCCACACAACCACGTAGGACTTCATTTTCTAATGACCATCTTCACATTTTATGTTGGTTGTTTGAGAATTTGTGTGGTTTGTTCTTTTTCCCTGTCTTATTAACTTGGATTGTGTCATCTTTTGATTAAAGGACTGAAAACTTGGATGTTTGTTAAACATATTGAGGGCTTATTTTGAGTCCATAAAACTTCAACCATGGAGGTATAAACTTGATTGGAAGTATCATACAAGAAACTTAATTCTTCATACAAGCCCCCAAAACAGAAAATATCTGTATATGGCTGTTACTTTCTGCTATGCCACATTGCTGCATAGCAGAATTCTTACTCTGTGTTATTCAAATTATTGACAAAATAATTTTGCTGAATGTGCAGTCCTTAATGCTCTTGCACATGTCCAAATTCTCATGGAAAAATTTATTCTGAGGGAAGCTGTTTTCCAGGTATTTTTAAAACATCCATTGCATGACATGCCATATGATATGCGAAACTAGGTTGCAAAATTCAATTTCAAATCAAAGAATGGAACTTTTTACACAGAATGTAATACACTCACCATGTTCCGTGAACCAATGAAATGAAAGCATGTAAATCGGGACATCATTCAGCATTTACCCCATTGGAAATTGCTCTCATCAGTTGTAAATCTGATATGCAGAATTTGGATGACCTTCATCATTTTCTTGTATAGGGATGGCTCTTGAAGACGTGGTTGCTGCCAAACTGGTGCATAGTAAGCTACATGGTGGAAAGTAAGCCATAAAAGGTTGTCACAATTTCAACCTCAAACGCAAAATTACATTCAGCATTGAGCTTCACTGCTCTGCATTAACAATTCCTATGTGGTGACTTGGTGTCAAATGTTTAATAATTAAGATTTTATACATGTATATGTATATGGAAAACAAAGATAGATTAATGCCAACTATGCAAAATACCATGAAATCTGTGTGATTTACTCTAAACGTCGAGTGTTAAGGGTGACTACTGGTACATGTATGATGCTGAGGCCACATCTGTTAATTGTCTACCATTGCTTGCCCATCAATGTAATCACATGTCTAACAAGTGACCATTGCAGACCAAATTGTGTTTGGAAAACTTGATGCACATTTGATGTACAATCAGGATACTTGGATTATGATAGGGCAGAGCGAAGACAACAAGTAGTCAGCGATGATGTGAATTTAGAGATGTATTCAACTTTGGTGAAAGCACATTGCAAATATTTGCAGAAATGTCACAAATTTGTGCTTGCATATGCCTCTGCACAATGCATATAAGTGCGATCTGGTGCTAATTCAAAACTTAAGAAGAAAATATTAAACTTTAAAATTTTACAAATTTGTAAGGAGTAAATAAAATATTATGATGCAGGTTATTAACCTTTACCCCCAAATTAATAATACTTCTGAAATATTTTGTAAGTTCAAGGAAGGAAGACGTTATCCAGCCACCGTTACTTTACATGAGGTTTCACACATGTATTCACTGAAAGTTTAAGCTTAGAGAAACCGCCACTGATTTCCTTTACAGTGGAGGATTTTGGATTTAGGATTCAGGAGTGTTTTCCTGTCAAAATGCCTATTGAGCTAGTGATAAGACAACTTTGCTATGACTGATTTTGAAATAAGTATAAGTCCAAATTGACTGGTGCTTACAACGGCAAGTGAGCTAGTGATAAGACAACTTTGCTGTGACTGATTTTGAAATAAGCGTAAGTCCAAATGGACTGGTGCTTACAACGGCAACCTCTTCTCATAGACACTAAAATTATTCCCAGGAGAAATGCCATCTTTTTGCTGCATAGTGCCCTTGTCTGGAAGGTCTTTACTCTTTCAAATTCCAAAAAGAGCTTAAAACTACTAACACACAGTTAAACCAACATTTTGGATGAAGACTTCACATCATACACATGTAACTTGAAATCTCTGATGGCATTTTGTAGATATGGTAATTTGCATGGTGAATCAAGGCCTTCTTGAAGGGGTTTATTAAAACTGTCAACACCTCTAGAGACCAAAACATTTAGTACAGAGGCCTGAAGGAATGAAAGCAGTAAAAAACAAGTCTAAAAATGCTTTCATTTTGCTTTGCTTTGCCATTAATTTTGTTCCTTCCCCCCCCCATTTTTGGGGAGGGGTGGTGTTCTGTTTTCGCTGTGCAATCAGAAATATTAAAACAAAGAAAAGACAAGCAGTCCATTCAAATGTTCTATACTTCAGTATTTTGCTTCATCTGGTAATGTATTGAATACAGACTTACTCAGAAATAAAAAGAAATTGAAACAAATCAAAGAATTTGGTTGGTTTGTTTTTTTGTAGTGGCTCTTAACCGATACCAGTAACAAGTCATTTTATTGAAACTGGAAACCTAAATAGCGCCCTCTTGTGGTTTGAGTGTAGCAAGTCCCTCGACAATACTGCAACAGAGGATCTGAACCACCTCAACTCCATGGGCTGAGTGCGTGTTCATTCACTAGCCCCTGGTCATGTTGAATACGAAAATGATGCTGACTGGCTATTCAGGATGAATAAACATAAATGTAAAAACCTGAATCGCTTGTGTATTTCAAAAGCTGCACACTTGCACCCACGTATTCTCCTGCACGTAACACATGTGTAAATCTTCATTGCACGTTAACACACTGACTAAAGTCGTAATTTAATTATCCCAACTGGTGGGATGTTTAAATGATACAATACCAAAGGTTTGATCGCACAAAGCATGGTGGAAACCAACATGGTGCAGCAAGATTGTACCCATGGGAATGAGGTTGGGATCTGTATGCCTTGAAAGTAGCATAATGCATGTCATGTGCACTGCAACAGTGCACGTATGGACAGCTGAGGTATTCAAGATTCCTTTAATGCTGTTCCTGTCATATTTAGGTCAGCGTGAATGGTGTGCCGTGTATCAACAATTTTACAACCTGTCCAATTGCCCACCCTTAGTTACAGTGAGCAATGACTGTCCTTCAGTATGATTGGAAAAGAGAGGGTGGGGCTGTAAAAAGATTCAATGGGGCGTGTTGCTGTAGTCCCATCAATCTCTCTGATACCTGCCTATGGTGTGGAGTTCAGCATAAATTCAACTATTCTACTGGGAAATTACTTCCACTCGATTCAGAAGTAATGACCTGTAACTTATCTATCGCTGCCATGGCTTTGGTTCAGATCACTGCACTGGTTTGTGTTAGGCACTTGCAAACTCACGATGAAGCAAACATGTTATCAAGGATCCACTCAAAGCAAGAAAACAGTCAAGTTGAAAACAGGATTAAAAGAGGCATTTTTGGTGTTAAGCAGATTTTGTATGTCTGAACATTTGTCCGTAATGCATTGCATGTAATAGCTCTGGCTCTTGTTCCCAGACCAAACCATGAAGGGTCCTCACCAATGTGACCAATTCACTGTATCCCAGTGGAAAGCGCACAAACTGCCAGTTATTTCAAATATTCAGATCAGACTAGTTGATAATTTTGAATAAAGAATCTCCCCATTTTTACTAACCTTCAGCTGGGTTTCTCAAGCCACAGATAGCATGCCAACCTGTGGCTTTATACCACACTGCTGGGGACTGTAGTGTCTCGTCCAGCGACCTGTCCACCTGTCATGAGGACAGGCAAAAACAAATTTTGGACCAGTGGGTTTTGCTTTTCATAATTGACAACCCCATTTTTTTACAGAAATTCTGAACACCAGTGATAAAGTCATCACATTTCCTTCCAAAATATAGGATAGAGTGGAAATATAGCCTCAGATAGCACCAAATGATGTCAATTTCCAATTTTTTTCTGGGAGAGGACAGACAGTTTAAATTGAAGCTTGGCTAGGGGAGTACAGGCAAAATGTTTCAAGCCTAGATCAAACCCTGCAATCTACGTCCTCAATTTTAGCCTGCCTCCAAATTATGGGTTGGAAAAGCTCTTCAAATTACCTCCTCAATCCAAGGCAACTAAACTTAAGCTACACAGACAATTAGTTCTGGATCAGGTTTTTCCAAGTAATGAGAACCTTTGTTGGACTTATTCAAGTTGTTGGAAAGGTACCACAACGAAGACACTAAAAAAAAGCAGAAACCTTGATATGCAGTTACTGGAATATCTGAGTGATTGACAGAATGAGCAGACGTGCTGATGAGAAAAGGCACCCTTGGGTAACCACATCTGCCTCTGGGGGCACTGGCGTGAAGGTGCTTTGAGTGATTGAATCTTTAGACCTTGATGAATGTCCCTGGTAGTCAGTGGCTGTTGGCAAAAAAAGGCCTTCTCTGCTTGGTTTTCAAGGAAAGTGTGAGGACCTCCACTTTGGGTGTCCTTGTTTGATCCAAGTCCCCCTACTTGGGTCTGGGATACATCCTCCAAGGATATCGGTCATTCTAAAACTTCCATGTCCTGTTGACTAATAGTATTAACCATTGTATGAAGGTAAGAGCCACTTTTCGGTTTACCAGGTGCTTTTTGGTTGCTGATTTTATTTTGTGTAAAACTATTGAGCTATGTTAGCTAGGAGTTAATGAGGTCTAAATGAAAATGCATAGCATGTATTTGATTCAGTATCTAGCATGAGTTATAAGTGTCTCATCTACATGCATAGCCACCTGTCCAGCTGTTACAATATGTGGACAAAAATTACTCAGGACCAGCAGGTTTTGCTTGTACCAAATTTACAAACCGCAATTTATTTCACAAATCCTTAATACTTGAAAAGACTATTTCATCCAATGCATTGGGTGCAGTGGGAACATAGGCTTAGATAGCACTAAGGGCTACCAGTTTCACAAACCCTGCTGAGTGTGGACAGGCAGTTGGTAACCTTGCCAGGGAAAAGACAACCTGAGATGAAACCATGGCATGAGTCCACTTTTAAAATAGACGACTTGTGGCTGGTTGGATGGTTTTATTGGTTGGCTTACTTTAATTTCGGGGTAATTCTCCACTAAACACTAAGTGGAAGAGCACTTATGTCAAAAATTGGGCAGGAGTTTATGTCAACTTGTTTTCATCAAGTGTTAACACATACAACACTTTGATTTAAAAATAAGTTAAAAATTTGTTTTACAAGTGCCAAAAATGTTAAAGTGCAAGAAATAGACCTCGTATGTGATTGATGAAAGTAAAACTATTCTGTCTCATTGTAGTTAGCCTTATTTAGTGTAGTTGAAATAAAAATTGATCTGGGATTAGTGTCTTCCTCACTGCAGTTTGTCAACACAAAAGTTTTACTGGGGCTCACCTGTATATGCATAGAGCATGAAAGGCATGCAGCTGCATGCATGATGCAGATTCTCAGTGAGAACTGATCAGCAGATAAACTTGATTTGGGGGTGAAAATACTTGAATCTTGAATGAAGATGGAGAAAACGTCATGATTGACTTCCCTACATGTTGAAGGCAACAAAACAGTCTGAGGTATTGTCAACTTTAACCTCTTCTCACCTCAATGTTTGTAATCATCACCTGCCCCTGGAGATTACAATGAAATGTATCCCTAAACATTACCCTCCCCAGCCCTCATTCATCCAGGGGTCACTACTTTTAACCTCAGCAGGGGGCAAGCCTATGTTTGTAACAGTCTCTGCATTACATTCACTCAATTAGGTGCACTGTATGCAAATGCTTCTATAAAAAGACAAGAGAGGTAACCTAATGCTGGCCCCGATCCTTTGCCAGCCACAAATAGAAAGTGTTGTTATTGATCATGGTGTAGGTTTAGGAGGTGGAGTAACTGACACTTACACCCAGGGATCTGAGGATGGTGTGACCTTGTGGTCTGGCCATCCTCTGCAGTGGACTTGAGGATAAGTCCTCATGCGTTCTGTCCACAAACTTGCATTGTCAAAGCTGTACTTGTGGAATGTAACTGGCCGAGTTTTGACTTATCTGTAAGTTGGTGATAAGGAAACCAGTGTCCCTGCGCAAATGGAAAAACTTATGTGGACGATGTATAGATCACATGACAGCTACATGCACACTTGAAGAAAAAAAATAAATAGTTGCATGTACTGACCTGACTTGCACCAAGTCTACCCCTGCAAGTCTTGCCAAAATATTTTTGATGTACTTAGGATGTGGTTGTAGTGTAGGGGGATTCTTTCCCTTGAGTCAGAATAATAAATTCATGTATTGATATCGAGTGAGATCGTACATGCAGTACAGTTAAATATTTTAATCAATGCCCAAATTAACCCTTTTTTAATTCACTCACCCTGAGAAAAAATCAAAGGAAGATGTTTTTGATATTTGATGCAAGGGATCCTGTTTAAAAGCTTGTTTTTTGTATAAATAACGTGTTATTTTATGTACATAATGTTGCACAATTTTGTTCACATATTGCTTTTTGGCACCATTAAAATAAAAACAGTGGAACAGTTTCAGACTTAAACGTTAGTAAGTCATCTAAAAGGCATTTTGGAAAATAAATGGACATGATTCAGTAATAAGTAAGCTGTAAAATCTTATCTTGTCTTTCAAAGTTATGCCTATCAGCCTATTCTTGAGAATTTTGATCTAAGAATTAAATTGTGAGTCAAAAATAAACAAGCCATACTCTTAAATATGAATAAATAACAGTCATGTATAGAATACCATTTACCCAAAATGGTATTGTGGGGATTTTACCTGAAAGCAGCAAACTAATTCTTTCCACAAATTGAAAATTTCCTTCTAAAAAAAGTTGTCCTTACATAAATGGCCCAAGGCCATACTGGAATGTCAGGGCTCAGTTGTGACAATCGATGTGATTGAACTTGCTAGGGGAGGGCGGATAGGAAATGAATGAGCTTTGACGTTGGCTGAGTTGGCCTACTGAGACAAGCTCACTGATTGGATATTGACGGGGGAGAAAGAGCACATCGATAACTGGCTGTGCGCTCGCAACTTCAGACCAGGATGTAGTTTGTGGGCTTTGTCAGGGAGAGTGCTCTTGACTTCAGAATGTTAGAATTGCATTAGTGAAGAGAGGAAGCATTTCTCTCTTTTTACCTTTTTGTCTCATCTGCATTCCCTCAGTGTTTCAAAGCCTCATTCCTTCCACTGTTATTTTACTAGTCTTATTAAACTTTGTTTTTTCTTCTACAATCAAAATGTTTCATCTCTGGTCCAGGGCACTTTTATTGTAGCCAGCTTTCCACATGTGCTTGGGAATTTCAAGGGGCATCTGTAAGTAAAAAGCAGTGACTATTTTGCACATCTTAGCCCATAGGAACCATGAGGTATCCCATACAAACCATGAGGCATCCCAGAGGAACCACGAGGCATCCCAGAGGAACCACGAGGCATCCCATAGGAACCACGAGGCATCCCATAGG